TTTTAAGAGTATTAGGGCCAGTAGATGGCATAGTGATTATGGCCCTGGACTCTCACATGGCCTAAAGTGGTTTGAGTATCAGACCAAGCAGCTTTAAAATCACTCCGTGTATGTGTGTGTGTGTGTGTGTGTGTGTGTGTCCAAAATCCCAGGAGAATGGAGGAGAAGGGACTGAAGCATGGCCATCTCTGCTTGAGGGAGATGGGGGGAGGGTCTCACTTTTCCTTTCACTGTTTCTATTTCTCTCTGGTGAGCACTTGTCCCCTTCGGGGAATAACTTAATAAAACATAATAATGATAATTTTTAAGAGTATTAAGGGATCCAGAGACCAAATAGTTTGAAATGTACTGTTTTAAGAAATAAAATGATAACAACTTGAGGAGGTCAGAGAAGACAGACCTAACAGCTCTTGTGCCTTCATCATTCTACTCAGTGTCCCAGTTTTCTATTGAATGATTAGTTAATAACTGTAAAATAGTCCAGGGGTTTTAGTTATGAAAAAATATGGCCACTAGTATAGATTTATATTTCAAAAACTTGCTAGTTTACACTGATTTAGACATATAAAATTTTTAGTACTAGATCTTTTATAAAAAAAAAATTTGTATTTCACCAAATTATAGTAGTGAAAGTGTTATCAAAACACTACCCAGACAAAAAGAGTTTTAAATAGCATATTAAATGTTTAAAATTTTTGCCATAGGGTGTGTGTGCTCACCAGAGACAGCGAGAGTGACAGTGAAAAAGAAAATGAGAAATCACCACCCAGGGGTATGGCTAAACCACAATCCTCCTCCATTCTCTTCTCAGGATTTTAGGCAGGCACACACATGTGCCCGGTATGACTTTCAAGCCACCAGGCCCAAGACTCAAACCACAGTCAAAAATGTGATACCCCAGCACCTTAATCACCATGCCACCTGCTGGCCCAGCAAATTACAATTTGAAGTAGCCTCTCAATTGTCATGTTGATGGTACTTCTGAAATGCATGCAAACCACTGATTTTGTATCTGAAGCATTTTATCAGACATCCTTTTTCACATTATCATTTTCTACTTGACTTTCAAGAGAGAGGAAAAATAAACATTAGCTTCAGTCTGTGCTGTTATCTCAAATTTTGAAACTGCAGATTCTAAATTACCATCTTTCATTTTATCTGAGACAACAATGATTGAAGGGTGTATCACTTCTTATATACCGAAACAAACAAGGCAAAGCAAACATCCAAAATGATCTCCTTATCAATCAGGATGCTGAATGGCGTGTAAAGGTAACCGAAAAACAAAAAACCACCTATCAGAAATGAACACGAAGGAACGTTACATGTCTCCATCTTGACACTGGATAAAGGGATAATGATAATGTGGGACAAAGAAAACGCTCCCATGGGTATCTGACCCACAGTTTTTGATTTCCTCAGTGTTTTTAATTCATGGAACCAGTGTGGTAAAAGACAGTGAACAGAGAATGTAGGTGGTGCCCCAGATGACTAAAGGAACAAATGCATATTGTCTTTCCAGATGTCATTTGTTGTAAGAGGAAAACACGTTTCAGAAAGTTTTAGAGTATGGAAAAACAACAACAAAAACATGTGTCTTTTGGGGCTCGCAGGTGGTGTGGTGATAAGGATGTTGGATTCCCACATGGTCAGCCATGGTTTGAATCCCGGGCCTGGCAGCTTGCTTTCTTACTTTCTCTCTTTCTCTTTCTCTTTCTCTCTCTCTCTCTCATGCTGTTGCTCTCTGGTCAAATGAAAATAAATCAATAAAGTTAAATAAAATAAATTTTTTTCTTTTTTTTTTTTCGGAGAGATTTTCACTGTAGGGCACGTGCGCTCGCCAGACAGACAGAGAGAGACAGAGAGACAGAAAGCGAGAAATCACCCCCCAGGGGGGATGGTCACGCCACAATCCCTTCTCCTCCATTCTCCTCTCGGGATCTTGGGCACGCACGCACACGCACCCGGCGTGAGTTTTAAGCCACCGGGTTCAGGACACGAACCGCGGTCGACTATGTGGGAGTCCAGCGACATAGCCATTACGCTAACTGCTGGTTCCCAATAAAATAAATTTTTTAAACTGTGTCTTTGAATCAATTAAATACAGTAGTTAGAATTTACTGGTTTATAAAAATGAATTAGATAGTGCTTATGTAGGTTTAACTTGTATTATGTAACACTTCATCAGTCATGCTAATATACTTGATATTTTTCTAACAAGCACAAAATATACAGGAAAATAGATACATAACATTCTTGGTGTGTCTACTTCAAAGATTACAATCAAGGTGTACAAATTAACATGCGCTTCCCCAAACCAGGGTACTCGGTAAGGAAGTTTCTTGTGCATACCATTTGCTTTTCTGATCTCTTTCCTCTCAGTGTGTCTATGAAGTTAGAATATATATTTTTTCACTGGTCACAGATAGATTTAATAAAGTCTCTTGATTTTCAAAGTTCAATAGGAAAAGCTATAGCTCTTAAAAAGCAACTTTTAAAAACAACAGTTAGGGATATATCTTGAAGTCTACATCAAAATTGTAAGGTGCTCTGGGACAGAAACTTGAATTCATAATGTTTTCATACCACAGTACACATGGCATTTACCATGTCCAGAAGTAAAAGACTTCAATTCTGAATTCGGTAGCAGGGTAGCAGTTCTAACCCTACATTTCTATTATATTTATTGATTTTTTTTCCCTAAGAAATGTAGATGAGGGTGAAGTATTTTGCTATAATTGCTGTATAGTATGTGAAAATATTATAGGTTCTTTTTTTTTTTTTTAGAGGTTTTTGCTATAGGGTGCGTGCACTCGCCAGACAGACAGAGAGAGACAGAGAGACAGAAAGCGAGAAATCATCCCCCAAGGGGGATGACCATGCAGCAATCCCTTCTCCTCCATTCTCCTCTTGGGATCTTGGGCACGCATGCACACGTGCCCGGTGTGAGTTTTAAGCCACCTGGTGACTACATGAGAGTGAACCATGGTCGACTACATGGGAGTCCAGCGACATAGCCATTACGCTAACTGCTGATCCCAAAATAATATTATAGGTTCTTAAGGAGAGAGGAGCTAACATTTCAGTCATCCATGCTAAGTTACCTCATTCTGTCTTGGAGCTTATATTTTATGATCTGTGATACAGAAATATCTAATCTTCAGCCATTTATTTAACCAGATTTCAAGCGAGTGAATGAGTTTCTAGACTTCAGATGTCTGGTGATGGTTGTGATAACGAGGACAGTCAGGTATCAGATGTCATCTGGAGGCAGTGGAGTTACCTGCTGCTGCGCTAAACTTCATGCTAGGAGGCATATGGATTCTTCCCTTGTCTTCTTTTCAGAAGGTAATATAAACTACATTTTTAAAGTTTAGAATATGAAAACATTTGCGTTTTGAGAGTTTATTTTTGTTTTATTTTATTTTATTTTATTTTTTGCTTTAGGACATGTGCACTTGCTGGAGAGTCAAAGAGACAGAAATCAAGAAATCACACGCTTGGGGGGATTTTGAGCATGCATGACACACACCCGGTGTGTTTCAAGCCACCAGGTTTGGGATTGAACCACAGAAGACTATGTGGGAGTCCAGCACCTCAATCATTATGCCACCTGCTAGCCCCCAAACACTTGCCTTTATCATCATCTGACACTCAATGATAATTCTGTTTTTAATGCCTTAACATAATGAACGCTAGCCTGTACATTTGAACATAACTATACCTTTAAGAGGCATTCTGAAACTCGCATGGAAACACTTGAAACAGACAAAAATTGAAAAACTGAAAAATGGCTTAAGGTTTTACTGAGAAAAAAAACTCCAGCCCTTTTTCTTTCTAACAATTGCTCTCTCCATGTTGAAAGGATAGAACCCCGCATTAAGTTCAATGCTTCTTAAATGATGAATGGATGAAGTAGGTGCTTGGAATAGAAACACTAAATAAAGCTCTTGTGTTGAAATTATGGCCTTGATACAAAATGGCATTTATTCAAGTCATTCAAACAACTCCATTCTATTTCACAAAGAATAAAAATATCTCATAGAAGGCAGGACAACTGTTCCTTGCCTTCTTATAAAAATGGATTCCCAAGGGATACCATTCCCAAAGGGCATTGGATTTGGAGAGTTTTTTGCTATAAGGCATGTGCATTCACCAGAAAGAGAGACAGAAAGTAAGAAATCACCCCCTGGAGGGATGGCCATGCAGCAAGCAATCCCTTCTCTTCCATTCTCCTCTCGGGATCTTGGGCACCCATATACATATACCTGGCATGAGTTTAAGATACAGGGTCTGGGACTCGAACTACAGTCAACTACATGGGAATCCAGTGACATAGCCATTATGCCAGCTGCTGGTCCCCCAGAAACTTTTCTACCAATTTGTATTAGAAAAGTAAATGGGTTCTTAACTATTAAATGTCTTTCTTTTTCCTTGTGAATAGCAAATCATATGGGTTTAACTGCTTTCCTTCTTTTGATGAACAGAAAATGTCATAATAAAATACATGTCAACAAATTTATGAACATATGGGCATATGCATACATACACACACATGTACAAGTAGATCATCTCAATGACTGAATAAAGTGAATCAGAATTTTTGCTTGCCATTTGGACAACACAAACATTCAACTCTCACTATTGATTTCCTGGAAAATAATTGTCTTCAGTAAATCATATCTTATTTTATAACTTCTACACAATTACAGATCAATTCTCTGTGGATGAACCTTTCAGGAAGTTCCTTTCAGGTTCAAGTTTATTTAGAGACAAAAGACTTAACAATTGTGTAGATTGAGGTTAATTTTAAAGTCTTACACTCCTCAAGTAGTTCCATGCTGAACACATTGGTCATTTGGTTTTGGATGGGACAAATTGAAGTCATTTGGTTTTGGATGGGACCTAATTTTATCATGGCGCCAAATATCTGCCTTGCCACCCATCTGAGGGACGTCTGTCAGGAAATTTCTGAGCAAAAATTGTCAGCCAGGACTCACCTCTCCTTCCCTGGGCCAAGGCCTCCCATTCTGTGTGTATTTGCTTTGATTCTGTCGCTTCTTTTGTCCTCCATCAGCGAATTTGCACAGTAAAGGTTCACTGGGGGCTGAGAAGATAAGAAACCAATTCTACATTAGCAAATCACCCTTAAAAATAAGTGATTATGGGCGTCGCAGTAGGGCTTTGTAATAAATATCTTTTGAAGTACCCTGGTGCTTCTACAGAGATATTTGGCCTTCTTTGGGTCTCAACTCTCTTGGCTACTATTCTAACTAACTGGGCTTCAAAAAAGTACTGGCAGACCATAAAAGCATATCACAAGTATTGTTGAAAAAATAATCAGCTGAAGAATGTGGACTCACTTTAGTAGGAAAGAGGCAAGCAGCAACCCTTCTAGTGATGTTAGAAACATTCACAGTTGGCATTTTTGTGTGCATAAATATTTCTACCTTTATGCAACTGTGTTTTCATTGTAAAAGCTGTAGTTTTCCATTTTGGAAAGAGATGCTTAGGAGCTTCTTACTAATAGAAGATATTTTTGGTGCTGGCAGGTGGCATGGTGGGGAAGGTACTGGACGCCCACAGTTTGAGTCCCAGACCTGGCAGCTTGCTTTCTCACTTACCCTCTCTCTCTGTGTCTCTCCCTAATAATAATAATAATTATTATTATTATTTAAAATAATTAAAATTTATTAATAATTTTAATACCATTAAATAATAAATAAAAAATTTAAAAAGAAGATACTTTGCTAATTAACACCAAATTAGCTTTGTTTTCTCATTAATTCTCTGTAATTTCAAAAAGCTAGAAATTCATCTTCTATCCAATTTTTTAGGTTCTAATTTCTAAACAAAATCTACTGATCATCTCAGAGAGAATAATTACTAGAATATTCAGCAAACCTGAATGTTACAATATAGTTAAATGATATAGTTAAAACTCATGAATTGATTGTGGTGGTCCTGCATGACTTATGAAAACTTTTTTTTTTCCTTTTTTTGGAGAGGTTTTTGCTATAGGGTGCGTGTGCTTGCCAGAAAGAAAGAGAGACAGAGAGACAAAAAGCAAGAAATCACCCCCCAGGGGGGATGGCCATGACACAATCCCTTCTCCTCCATTCTCCTCTCAGGATCTTGGGCACGCATGCACGTATGCCCAGTGTGAGTTTAAGTCACCGGGCCCAGGACTCAAACCGTGGTCGACTATATGGGAGTCCAATGCCATAGCCATTATGCTAACTGCTGGTCCCTAAAAACTTATTTCTAAGAGAAAGTGACCAAAACTAAAGTGTGTCAGAACTTTTGCCATGAAAAAGGCATGGCAAAAATGATAACCTTTAAAAATCCAACAGTGCAAAATTATTCAAGAATTGATGTCTCCCTCCACATTCTACTTAATTAGAAAACTGCTGCTTGCTATAACCACAAATATATTTAGAAGAGACTAGTAAAAAGAAAGTCATACTGGCCTGACAAACCTGGTCAATACATTAGTATGGCTGGGAGGGTTAGTTAGTTCATTTGCTTGAATAAATCAAATATATTTTTATGTATTTCCTTTCTCATTTCCTAAAAAGAAATGTGTTCTGATAAAAGTTCATTGTATTAATGGCCCTAATTGAGACACAGATGAAGATATACTGATAATATTATTTTTGAATTCTAGGAGTCTAATTCTGATTGTTAGTTTCCTAAAGGGGGATATTTTATTGAGAGTGGCAAGGAAATAACATTATTAGATTAGCTGAGTTAAGAGGTACATTATTTTCTAGTTCTTAAATACCTGCAAGAAGATAAAAATCCCACTTGACTAGAGGATAAACAATTTCCCCTTAGTATCTTTATCAGTACCCTGTCATCCCTTGAATGGCTGATGGTTCTTTCACCTTTAAATGTGATTCTTCATGCCTGAAACTTCCTTTCTCAATTGACCACACCCCTCACCCTCCACCCAACACACATACACTTCCATCTGGCAAACTACAAGGACATCTATGACTATCCCCATTCACCTCAGAGCCAAATTATCTAGTGCTTACTTCAGCAGACTTTGGTAGGCTGAATGTTTTTTTCTTGTTTGTGTCAAATATGTCCCTTTCAATGAGTACTCAGGCTTGAGGATAGACAGTGATTGTAGCAGAAGTCATGGTGGAGTTTATGTGTGCCTAATGTGTGCGTTGTGTGTGTTTCTAATATATATGTGTGTGTGTGTGTGTGTGTGTGTGTGTGTGTGTTGTTAACAGCATTTTGTCCTTAAGTATAGAAAGTACATGAAAGTGATGCTACCAACAGTATGGTCAAGGGACCAGCCCAGTGGGACCACCACCTGAGAGCTTAGTAGAAATGCAAAATCTTGGGTCTCTCCCCAGACCAACTGAATCAAAATCTGTGTTTTTAAGCAGATCCTTAAGTGATTTGTGTGCACACTAAACTTTGAGAATAACTGTTTTGATTAGTACTATCTCCTTAACTGAAGGAGGAATACATCTTAGATATTAAATGTAAAATCCTCTGAATAATGAGATGATTTCAGTAGAGCTGAAATATTATCTGCCTACAATTTCCTTATTGCAGCATTATGGTGCCAATTAATTTTGTTTTGTTTCTTTTATCAGTAGTTAAAATAGCAACTAAATGAAGAAGAGGCCTGTGTGGAAGTGAGATTCTGTTTTAAGCCACAGATTGTAATGTGCTAGAAGACATTATGGTCTATCATGCGAATGGGGAGTATTTAAAATATAATTACAACGATGCACGGCACTAAAGTTGTATGGTAATTATGAAGGAGTAATTACTGTTTGCTTCTTTAGCAGAGTATTTCCAGTCTTCTAAACTTTGTATTAAACATGAAAGGATGAATGCATAAACTGATACAATGATCTGATGCCTTATAGAATGTGCTGTTGTAAGCAAACAATCAAGAACCAACAAAGATTTCAATGAGCACAAGTAAGGTCAAAAATGTATTTTGATTTTCTGTTTAAAACTAAGATACCTTTGGTTTGAGAAGTCACCAAGAATGCTTTCTAGTATCACATTGAGAAGAAGAGATTGACATAAGATTTTAGCTAATATATAATATCAATAGTAGAATTCCTGTTTCCTTTCAAAGAAGTTGAATGTTTTTTAGCATTCAATTTACCTATTCTTCTAGTATTTGTATTGAATTAAGGCAATGATGTGGTTTTTTTTAAATTTCTTTCTAGTATTTGTATTGAATTAAGGCAATGATGTGTGTTTTTTTTTAATTTCTTTTTTTTAGAATTATTTAATTTTGTTTATCATCTTTTTTTTTTTAGTTATTATTATTTTGTTTTGTTTTGTTGCCTTAGGGCAAGCATACTTGCCAGAGAGAAACAGACACAGTAAGAGAGCAAGTGAGAAATCACCTCCCAGGATGGGTGGCCACACCACAATCCCTCCTCCTCAATTCTCCTCTCAGGATCTTGGACCTGCATACACCTACGCCTCGCATGATTTCCAGGACTTGACCATGGTCAGCCATGCAAGAGGCCAATGACATAACTGCTACACCATCTGCTGGTCCCTCATTATTATTTTTTAATTTGCTATCGGGCATGGGTACTTCCATGGGAAAAACACTTGCATGGCCATGCCACAATCCACTCTCTTCCATTCTTCCACCTCATCATGGTTCTGGGCACGCACAGTGTACCCAGCATGTTTTTCAAGCCTCCAGGGCCAGGATTTGAACAGGCTGGCCATGTAAAAACTGACTCCTTACATCCAGTGCTTAACACTGTGCTTCAGGGCCAGCCACTTAGAAACATTTTCAACACTCTTTTATTTTTTTAACTCAAAATCTATTTAGTACTTGATATGAGCTGGCATTAACCTGGATTCGCACTTACAGGGAAGAAAATCAATGAAAAGGAAACTCCAACAGCTTGCAATGGCTGCTATAATAAAAATACAGGTAGGCATTTAGAGGGCCTAGAGTGTGGGGCACCCTCGAGCACTCAGTCACAAAATAGCCTCTAACTGAGACATGACATCCAAAACCATACACACAGGGTTCTGAATTTTAACAGTCTACATGTATGTCCCTCTGCCCCTGCCAACTACCAGATTATGAATAAACACATGAAAGACTGATCGAGTGTTTAGTCTGCCCCAACACAGGCTTGCATCCTATGTTTATTGAATGAGAGTTTCATGATGATAGAATGATGCAATTTAGTTGAAATGCTTTTAGAACATCTGGGCCACCTAGGCCTGAAGTTGAGAACTAGCAGCGTTGCATCAATGAATTAGAACTCTATCAGTGTTTACTCCAACTCTCCACAATCTTTAAGTTTCTTCCCATCCTTGACCAGCATCCCTTGTTTCCTTCCATGTGTGGACAGAAGTAGTTTGCCTTGATTTGGGTAAAGAATAAGTGTGTAAAAGTGCTAGAAATAAGTATATTTAAAATTAACTATATATTGGAAACCAAGCCTTTATTTTTTCTGATTTATTCTAAAACACTTGTTTCTGTCATATCCAGGCAAGTTTTCCAAAGATCTTGAACATATCTGCAAATGTTTTGTTAAAAAATATTCATTTTGGGGCCAGCAGGTGGTGTGGTGGTTAAGGCACTGGACACCCACCACATGGCTGACTACAGTTCGAGTCCCAGATCTGGTGGCTTGCTTTCTCACTTTCTCTCTCTCTCTCTCTCTCTCTGTGTGTGTCTCTCTCTGACAAAATTAAAAATAAATAAATGAATAAATAAAGTTAAATATGATTTTTGAGAGGTTTTTGTTATAGGGTGCATGCACTCGCCAGAAACAGACAGAGGACAGAAAGTGAGAAATCACCCCCCAGGGGGGATGGCCACAGTGCAATCCCTTCTCCATTCTCTTCTTGGGATCTTGGACACACACACACATGTGCCCAGCATGAGTTTAAGCCACCAGGTCCAGGACTCGAACCGTGGTCGACTACATGGCAGTCCAGTGATGTAGCCATTATGCCATTTGCTGGTCCCAAATAAATAAATTATTTTTTTAAAAAAGAAAAGAAAATATTCCTTTTCTTGCCCATATATGGACTGTACATGATACACGATGGGGTTTTTATGACTGTGTGCATCTTTCTATTTCT